AAAGTGGGGTGGGATTTGCAAGTGACGGGTTTAAAACCCGTCACTTATACACCATGCGGCCGCATGGTGTAATTGATGCCCCCCTTTTTTGATTTGGTAGGGGTCCATGCGGCCGCATGGACAAAGCCAATTTTTATTTTATTATAAACTAAAACAAACTTACAATTATAACGCCAAACACAACTTGAAATTTAAAAATCTCCTGAAATTGGTTTTCAATTTCAAAATTGACTCGACTCGCCATATTCCGAAAAATAAAATATTTTATTTATTTATTTATTTTTTTCACTTTTTGTTTGAGGGAGGGGAGAATTGCACATTCACAAAAGCATAGAGTTAGTGAACCCAGAACAGCTGAAGAACCAGTAAACTGGCAGCTAGACAGGACATTATGAAGAGGAAAACTGGTGGTACTGGTAGATTGCTAAGGAATGACGGGTCTCAAATCCATGATGAGTTTAAGTTAAAGGGAGGAGCAAGGCAGCTCACTCAGGTACTTCACAAAGGCTCACCAAGGTCACGATGAACCTCTCATTCTCAAATCAAAGTACCGATTGACTCGATTCACGAATTTAAAATGCAATTCATCACGGAAGTAGGCTTCATTAGCACTGTGCTCTATCTTAAGAGTAATATTCAAATATATCATCATAAGGGTGGCTGAAAAAATTGTAGCTTGATATCTAAGTAATATATTAAAAATATATAATAGATTCAAAAGTTCAAAAATAAGCACATCATAAACAGCAATAACCTATAAATTACCTGAAGCCTTTTACAGCATTCTTCAACTCAGGTTCTTCTAATATATTTCTAGCACTTAGCGGAACATCTGTGAAGTCCATATCAATTGCTAAGAACGTCGTGCAAAATTAAAATATTACACATACATAGAAGTAAGTAAATAGCTTTCAATCTGAACACTGACTATATCGTCCACTTGCTTTAGAGATTTACTTTTAGTTCATGTGGTACCAGTGTAGAAAAAAAAGCATTATAGTGAATTTCTGCAAACTTACTATATTCTTTCAAAACCCTCACTGCTAGTGCACTGAATCCACATCGAGGAAGATCAGGCACTCCTTTCATGTAAATCATTACAGGATTTTCTTTAACATCCTACATTAAGAGAATACATTGATTATTATATAACAAAGCATTATTAAAAAAAAATAACATGCCCATAATGCAAGACAGCTTAAGGATATATGATGAAAACAATAAAAGAAGGCATTCCTGGCTAATAAGGGAGACAAATTTTTGAGTATGCTGTAATTTCTAAGAAATTACAAAGGATATCTTACCAAAATCTTCGGTCTATCAATTAATGTCATAAAGAATATACCACATAATTTTTTGATAATGCGTGTAATACCTGCTCAACAATGTCTTTCAACGACAGGTCAGTGCTCTCAAGCTTGCTCGTAGGTCTAAAATCTTCATGTGTATCAGGATCACTGGGAATGCTAGTTGAAAATAGTAAGTTTCCCGGGTAGAAGGATCTAGGGGCCTGACATGGCATAAAGCAAAATTTTACGAATGTCCAGGTCATAATTATTTAAATAGTATCATGCAGAGAGCTCCACATCACAATTCTAGAAATGCAATTCTTGCACTAAAGAAATTATCATCACCACAGGACAAAAGGACTAGCAACTGATACGCCAATTATTTTAAACATCATTTACCTTAACTCTTCAGATATTTATTAGAGACATGACTTACATCATTTTATTTATGAAATTATTAGATAGCGAATTTCATTTCTAGGCATCAGAAATCAACCTACAAATGGAAGGCTCTAACTTGGGTTAGGAAAGGACAGGAAAATGATAGCAATCTCTGAAATTTACTCAGAAGTAAAGAAGATCAATTTTGAAATAAAAGGCAAAATGCAACAAGATAGTCAATGAGGAAACCAATAGAGCTTACAATTGCAGTTGACCGAGCAGCAGGGAAAGCCCCGATGCCTTTATAAATCATATTAGCCAACAACCTCGCCATAGTAGCCCTAAGATCTTCCTCAGACCTACAGCTGCTTTATAACTAACAATAATTGAAATTTTAGGAAGACAATACAGAAATTACTATGAAACACAAATTGCATATCGACAAAGTAAATCTAATCAGTATTTACTATAGAATATCCATAAAATGTCAGCAGGCATGACATAATAATCACCTGAAAATTTTGAACTTTGTACTCAATAAAAAATACAGAATTGGGTTCGCAGGTCGAAATATGATCCCAAAAGAAGAAGAAACTTTAGGGAACATATCCATTGATATACATAGAATTACAGCAGACCATTTCTTTTAAAGAGATTTTGATCCTTGACGAAAATAAAAATCCAATTTGATTCAGAAGTTGGAATACTGCTCAAAAGAAACAAAATTGCTTGACAACTTAACTATAAACGAAGTAAATAAATCGATTGATTTATATATAATTGAAGCAGACATATTTTTTTACAAAATCAATTATGTTATTATGAGATTATTTCTTCTATGAAGTTCTTCATTTGATTGAAAGCATTGGACTTGAATCCCTAAAATCAACTTCAATTTAAACAAAATTAATGCTGATATCAATTCTGAGCCAAAATTCGATGCCTCATGAAAATAACAAATAAATAAATTAAATAAATAAATTGAGTGTTTCGAGAAATAATAACCGACGGAGACGAGCTTTATCGAACCCGGAGTGTGGACTGGATGCTTCGCTGGAAACTGGGTGTTATCTTTTCTGCGTACGCCGCACGGTAATGAACTTTTTTTTGGGTAGATTCCTTTAGAGCCCCCAACCTTTCATAGGTATGGCGAAAATGTCCCCGAACTTTTCATTTATAGCACTTATTTCTCCGACTTCTCATTTGTATTCCAATTTTCCAACCCTCTAGGTGCACATTTGGTTTTGATTTTTCTTTTCAAAAAATCAATTTTTTGACATTACTTTTTCAAGTCAGTCGTTATTTTTGACTTTTTCTCTCACAGATGAAACTCACTTTCTCTCTAATGATTAAAAAATCAATTTTTATAATCACTATTGAACAAGCCCTAACACTACGTGACTCCCCAAATAACTAAAAAAGTCCATTTGATGACACAACATGTCTGATTGAAAATTGTCCGAGGAAAAATAGCTATCTTTAATTCAATAAGATATTATATGCGCATTGCATGATATTTTAAATATCAAATTAGAATTTTTTATCATATAAATATATCACATGCACTATTCAAATATTAGAATATGGGTGCCATACATAAAATGTTGGAACTTTAATTAAATTTACCCTTTTTAAACATTTAGCTTTTGTTTGATCCCCATTTTTTTATCAAAATATATTTTTTAATAGTGACTTGACAATATTTCAACCACAATTTTTCAATAAAATATAATATTACATGCAAATCAAAAGTTTTTATTATTATTTTTAACTATACACTCTCTATCATAACACCATTTCAAAATGTATTTTTTGAGAAAAATGGGGATCAAACAACCCCTTAATTTCTCGCTTTTTATTATTAGCAAAGTTCATATAGTCTTATACAAAATTTTTTGTCAAAGTGAATGTAAAAAGATAATTTTGACTTTAAACTTTATTGTACAACACTATTTATATATGTTTGTTAAGAAGCACTCTTGCTGACAAGGTACTTTTATACATGGAGAGCCAACATGATACATAACAATATTAGTAGGGGTTATCATATGACATAAATCATAAACAGGGGTGCGCATTGCTTGATATTTTAAACATCAAAATAGATTTTTTCCTTTTGTCATATAGAGATATCACACGCACTATTCAAAGATTGGAATACGGTGCCAAAAATGAAATGTTGGAACCTTAGAAGAATTTACCCTTTTTAGACATTTAATCTCTCGCCTTTTATTATTAGCAGAGTTCACATAGTTCTACACAAAAAATTTGTCGAACCGAATGGGAAAATTTTTTTT